CACWCCCCATATAACTAAATACGCCACTATCAATAACTAAATACGCCAGAGACATTCAATTTTTCCCCCAAGAGGATAGGGCAGGACTTTAATGGACTCCCACTTTTAGGTGGARCACATACCTCGAGAACCGCCCGACCGATTTCAGCCACATTCRGTACTGAGGTTCCTATATTACAGTGTGAAAATGAGAGAAATCAGACTACAACCACKTCTACTTCCCAYATAACAYAATTTTAAATTACTTTTGATCCTTTCACTTTCCTGTGTACAAATCAAGAAGCAATTTATATAAAGGGATATAACCTTTCACGAATAAGACCTTTGAAATTTGCCACTTTATGATCAAAAGTTGTATGAATGGAGTTAAAACTTTTGAAGCCCCTGTGAACCGAATATGGGGACCCCAAAACCTACTATATAGTTGACTTTTTATCGAAAATATTRGTCAATGTATGGAATATCCTATTGAAAATCAAAGAGAATACTTTCCTGATAGCATTATGGCTGTGTGGGCTGAATAGGGTCGATACTTCTGTTAATATAATGGTTTTCGAACTTCTGGGTGACTTTATACCTCATATATCAACTAATATGTGAGTTATCTTACTAAAATTTAACGAGCGTATTTTTCTTATAAAGGTGCAAATTTGTGATTGGAATGAATCAGATGAAACTCACCTTTGATCCCATATAAAGACCAGSTTTTATGTACCTGAAAGTAYTACCCCCGCTTTAATCCTTGTAAGTTGCAAGAGTATGAAATGTTCGGTTATACCCTTCCTTATTTGTTTTCATTTCAACTTTTATATAAGCGTTAGAAATGTGATTATGCCTGATATTTCCTAAGATTATAAGTTATTCCGTTTATATAAATTRTTTTTTGTATACTTTTATTAACCAACTCACCACACAAAATACAATTGAAAATTTCGATTAATTTTTCTTATTAGTATGTGTATATTTAACTCCACTTGCCCCCCAAAAATAGCGCTAACATACTCAAATGAGAATCGAAAAACCAAAAATTTAAAAAAAAGGCGTTTCTTCTTTACTGCCGTGAAAAAAATTGTTTAAAATAAATAAAATTAGGAAAAAATTAGATGCAAACTGCATTTTTTAACAATTGTTTCTTCTTTCTTATTTCTTTTTCTTTTTTTTACTCCTTTGCATGTGTATATTTATAATGCGTTTTTACTACTTTGTTATGCTTGCAATCATTACATTTTGAAATATAAAAAACTTAAAAATATATTAGAGTTATTAAGAGCACACTTATGAATAATTTCATATTTTCAGTTTATTATTAATATTTTTTTTTAATAACTTGAATTGCTTTGTGTAAAAAAATCTGTTATTAAGGCGTTTGAAATTTTTTGACTTTTTGCTACATACATACATATATTACTTTTTTTGCCTGCTTTTTAGCATTTATTCCATGGATTTATTTGTGTATACATATAGATTAGGGTGTGCGTTATTTCACAAGTTTATTGTTCTCGTTTCTGCAAAAGACCAGTGCGGTTTCAGTTTTTGCTCTAAAAAATTATCAAAAATAAAAATATAAATATCAACCAAATTCTCTATTTTCGACCAAAATCATTTTACTTGCCTGGTATATAACACGTTTTAAACTTTTTTTGCAAAGCAATTCAACCTACGAATTTGAGAAGATTTATAATATACTACAAATAGTATACCTACAACTTTGAAAAAGTAATATATTAATATAAAAATTAGTGCACTCCAAAAAACGACATTAAGAGTTATACACATTTAAAGTTAAATATCAAATATAGTAAGGCATTCAGACAAGTGATTTATGCATTTKGCGTTACTCATACGACATGGTGTACTTTCATATCGTACAATGRATGGCATGATGTACTATATACGTATAAATTTAACTGTATAACTTTTAAAGGATGTTTTTCTGGAAAATCTAACATTTTTTGTAAAACGAAAGAGCATTCATATAAATATCTTATATGGTAAATTGTGTGTTACTCATACGACGTGGTGCACATTCATACAGTCGTGATGGTTGCTTAACTTTAATTGCGTATAACTTTTAAAGCAGGGATTTTATGAAAAAAATCATTAAGYCTTTTTTTATAGAGCGCTAAATTGTGTATTCGTATATCAGTCTGTCGAAGCTCTAGACTTTTATGTTTGGCGCCAAACAGCGAAAAACARGAAAGACTGGCGCCCTGTTGTTAACTCGGCTATAACCGCGTAGGCGGAAAGACTTATTTCTTTGTGTATAAAAGATTTGTGACAAATGTTTTAAAAATCTCGTATACAACACATCTGAAATGATGATGCTAAATGATTGGTCCACATTTCAAATTTGAATATTGCATTACGTTGGAGATTGTTTTTAGGCCAAAAACTGAAACTTCGTGCAGCGTTTGCAAAAAAAAGGAAAACAATTTGTAAAATAACRCACAGCAATATACATACATATACGTGTGTAATTTTTAAAGTACTTAACAATACATTTATGGCATGCGTTTAAGGTATTTTATAAATAATATAATACATAGTTATGTATGTATTTGTAAATACAATAAATATGTTGTTAAATATTTCACATATTAACAAAGCGTGCGGCAAGAACGGAAAGGATACTAAAAGCAAAGCCTATCCACCCTTTACCTACAACCCTTTAAGTACATTAAAGCACCAATAAACGCTAAATTTGTTATTTTAATTATTATTCTTATTATTTTTTATAATTTTAACGTATATTAGTGACAAAAAAAAGTATTTTATTTAATTTCAATTTATTTAATACTCAATTAGTTTAGTTAATCTATTACTTTTTCTATACTATTAGCGCTAATCATTTGAATTTTTTCTTTAAAACAAGATTACATTACAGTTACTGTACGCATACCAAAAAGAATACAAGTCTGCAATGGCCTTTGTCTAGGCTACGCGCAAAATCACTAGCAAAATATAGCATTTTAATTTAATTTGGAAGGTAAAAGCATTTTTATTCGTTTTGCTTTATGCTAATAACAATTATACAATGGGTGTTTGGTGAGAAGACGCATGTTGAKCGATAAAGATAAACAAATGGTGCAAATGGCAAACATTCTTTTTTAGTAGCAAAAACTTATACATTTTCTGTTTTTGGTGAAGTTCTCAATATATATATCCAAATTCCTTTCTTGCTTAGCGCATCATATATTTTTATACTTAAATATATTTACAATATATATAAGTGC